TTACTTGATCAAATTAGATTACAGAACATACTGTTCCTGTATGCGAGCTTAGTGGGATTAGAAATAATTGAAAGTTTCATTTCCATTTCGGAGTCGAAAGCTGTGTCATGATTGGCCAGGGCGAGTGAATCCTTGATGCCCTAAGCACCTTATAAACAGACAGGCTACTCCTGCTAATGTGTTAATACGTACAGCGAAGGCGTCTGAGGCTGAAGTGATGAAGGGAATACGGCAGAACGTGCTAATACGACGGCGTGCATAGAGTGGCCATCTGCTGAAAGTGGCTGCAATGAAGGCGGTCCATAATTACAGTATATTCCATATAGAGACCATCTGTCTGGTGTATAATGCGACCACATTTTACGGTCTTACTTCGTTTATGTAACTTGTGTAAGTGGGAAGAAACGGTTGATAATCTTGAATAAAAGATATACGTCCTGTATTTTATTCCCGCATTTCTTCAGTTTAATGATACGTAGTTTGCTAGAAATCGAATCTTTACTGAAACAAATTACCTTTCAGAATTACTGGATTTTTGGACTTTTTCCATCGTCCGGTATTCTAAAATCTAGAGAACAGAACGTTTCAGAAACCGGATCTGTTTCCTTTCTCATGTGAGTAGGAGAGTCCTAGGTGATGTCTCCCACTGCAGATCCGGTTTCCGAAACGTCCTGTTCTCTAGTTTTTAGAATACCGGACGATGGAAAAAGTCCAAAAACTCAGCAAATATACGTTTTATAAACCATCGCCAGAACCCTTGTCTTATCCCGCGCTTCCAGAAACTGGGTCCCCCTTTGCTGCTGCTGGAAGACTTTCGACGTAATCAAGAGGAGGTTCCTTTCTTTCAGACTCTGCGTGGGCTCCGTCAAATAGTAAAAGTTCACGAAAATGTTTCAGCCAAGTTGGGTATATGTAGATTTATTGAACTCAAACACATTACACGGGTTACAAGATGGTGTTTAGGCCGGGCCAGAGTACAGTGAGAATTTCTAAGTTCCCTTAGAAGAGCAGACTGATATGGAGACTGCCTCGGTTGGATTCGCGAAAGATGTCCCCCGGGTGGCGTTCAACGCCGGGTTTATAAAGGAGGGTGATACGGCGTCCTCTCTCCTGTGCGTCCGTTCTCACGACCTCAATATCTTGTTACAAAACAATAAATTCCATCTTAATTCTAGCGACATTCAGAAAACGAGGGATACAGTTGGCTAATTTGAATTTCGTCTCCAAATCGTTGCCCTAAAGAAGTACTTAGCTGTCACGGCAAGCCTTGATATATAATCATACAGATGTGCTCTCAATGAGACTGCCGGATACATAAGTCATCGACATAATGCGACAGGCTTAGAAATCTTTACTCAGTGTTATGCTAACGAATTGCAGTACTCCACCGAACACAATGATACAGAAATACAAAAGGTTACATATAGAAATTTCCCAGAATACGGAGTTTCGGCTCCTGCAGCTATACAGGCAGCTACACCATGTCAGTATATCCCTGTAACAGGCCTTGGAGGCCCATAAAGTTGTGAGAAGTCAAGGTTCCCACATTTTCTAGACAATCGGCTCATAGATGGCGGTAAGTTTGTCAGACCTACACGTCGGCCGCCCTTTACCCCCAAGAACATTCCAAGAATATTCCTGGTACTCGTTTCTGTTAGAGCCTGAGTCGACCCCAGGGCCACAGGGCGGCTGGAAGGATTGAGTCAGTTGAAAAAATCCAATGACCTCCTCGGGATTGGATCCCGCGACCTTCCGGCTACTATATACCACAACTATACCACAACTATATACATGCCCGAAACTAAGCTTTGTCAAACGGACATAACAGGAAAATGTACGTATTAATTGTGATCAACCATGCACAGACCTGAAACTAAAATAGAAAAGGAGGTAAACAGTTTATGCGATAAGCCTAGCCTTTGGGGCAGGAGAATCCTAACGCACGTGAAGTCGCACTGTAAATGAATAGAAACTTGAGTCATAACAGAAGACTTAGGCGAACGAACCCTGGTACCACGAACATGAAAGAGACATCTTAGTCAATCTCTCTTTCTTACGTGTTTTTTAGTATGCAAGTTTTCCATGGTCGAAGTTAAAACTTATAATACTTATGCACGAAGAGAAATATAAAATATAATTTAATCTGCATGTTTAAAGATCTGTCCTGATGAAGGCCTGGAAACAGGGATAGCTTCTTTTATTTCTGTTCTTATAATAAGAAGAAACTAAAGTGGAGAAGGCAGACTGTAATCTGATAGATCAAAATTGCTAATGTTCTCTCTCCACTTTGCCTTTCCTCTTTGAGTACAGCAGGAAATAAGATTCCCTTAAGATGGATCGGATATGCCGAGTTCATCTTTAGTCTCCATGTTAAATATTTAAAGAGACAATCTTGTTAGCATTGTAGGCGGCTTGTTATACTCCTGCACAGCAACTTAGTTCAGCTGCAGCCCTACAGATATTTGCTTTCTTTTCTGACACTCTCAAATTACTACGTTCTATTTCTATTCCAATAGGCCTACTGCACATTTGCGACGATGTAGGACAAAAATATGAGTCATTTAAAAGTCTGTTGTTTTCGTAAAGGCGTTTGTACGAGAGGACACAGAACTGTGAGTGCGGTTTCCACTAATTCAGATCCGTAGAGCCAACGGGCTACAGTTCGTATCTGGACCAGGTAACCGGCTATATAAACTGAGATTTCTTATGGTTTTCTTCAGCCTCTCCAGACGAATGAAATAATGGTGCCCACACGTAAGCCACTAGTCACATTCAAATTTCTCAGCACCTGACAATTCATCATCACCCTCTCCACTCACACGTTTGCATTCGAAAGAGAGAAAATTAACCTAAGGATCCATCTGTCCCATACGAGAATTGAGGTAGAATGATCCTCCGAAACATCGATAAGGATCTCCTACACTACATGGCTGAGAGACAGTAATCTTCGCTCTACCGTAAATATTGGGGGATGGTGTTTTCTGATAGAAAATATATTTACTTCTTGTCTCTCAGCCAAAGATTTGTACTGAGCTGAAATACTGGGATTCAAAATCTTGTTCTGTGTAAAATGTGTCCACGACTTTTAAGGCTGTGTTTTCCAGTGTAGGTAGAGGCTGATCTCCCGAGGAAGGAGTCCTACCGACTGTCAGAATGAATGTAATACATTTTGACACTATTTATGGCAGTTACTAAATAAACTTGCAGATTTGTGTGAAAGAGGTGCGTTTCCGTAGTGTATATCGCCAGTTTGAAAGCGGATATTAAAATCCAATAATTTACAATTGAATTAGCAGCCTTTTGTGGCATTGATGATGGTAACGTTACCATTAACCTGCACAAGTATATAAGAAGATTCTCCCTCTCTCAACTATCTAAGGTGAATTTGGTATTCCATACCAAAATCCAATAATTTAAATTTAAAACCTGAATTGGCATTTATTATAGAAGATAATCTTCTTTCAGATCAACATAATTACCAAACTTTAAACTTGAATTTAAGAGAATGTCATGTCTTTCTACTTTATTCTAATGTATATTTTTTCCCCCTTGGCACTACAGCCCCAGTGGGCCTAGGCCTACCTCCATGAACTTCTCCGTTCACTTCGGTTTTTCTAGATCTTACACATTCGGTAGGACTCCTTGGGCGGGTGATCAGCTCATCGCAAGGCCTCTACCTGTACACAAACACAGAAAAACGCACACACACGCCCTGAGTGGGATTCGAACCCACGATCCCGTCTTCCGAGCGAGCGAAGACAGTGCATGCCTTAGACCCCTTAGACCGCTCGGCTACTGTGACCGGCAGTGTATAAGAATAATATATAAGAATTCAGTTCGTACCTCACAGGAAACAAATCCGAACCCACGATCCCGGCTTCCGAGCGAGCGAAGACAGTACATGCCTTAGACCGCTCGGCTACCGTGACCGACCAATGTATATTTTACCTATTTGTATCAACCCTATCTCCTGGTGAGATGCTTCTGTGATATTCTTGTGTCTATTCTAATACTGCATGCTCTTAATTCTATTCGATTATTATACCTCCATTTTCCATGCTGCAGAAGCGCTCCTGGAGGCAGAAACTCATTTCACGTATGTGCCCATCCTTTCTTATTAATGTCCATAAATTGGAATCATGCGTCACGTCCCTTTGGGGGTAGTTCAGAGGACATTCATTTTGCAGCACCAGATTTCTGAGCGAAATGTTTCCTACTGTGAGGTTTGGCAATAGATTATAAAACTGCGATTTATCGTCTACCGGTTCTTCGGACGTTAATTTTAGACCATCATCATCATCATCATAACTGACAGAACAGCGCATTTTGATCCATGGCCTTTCTTACAAGATTCTGCCCCATTTGATCCGGTTTTACTTCTTTAGATTTCGCAACAATATTTTTTTTCTCGGAGCAAGATCATCAGCCTTGCGTCTAATCCCCAAGCTAGAGGACCAGGTCCCTGTATTTATGTTCTCCAGTGACAGGGTGTTCCAGCTATACCCCGAGGTACCGGATTTCATTTTCGTCGCCTTCAAATATTCGCAGAGCTTCCAGATGCGGGTATTCGATTTTAGGCTGGGGCCACAGGAGCGCATAAAATGCGTCCGTTGTAACGAACGTCGTGACGTCCGTTGTACAAATAAAATGCTACGCTTTCTTCTGGCTCCATTGCAGACAAAAACTACACACCGCTTTCTGCAACTGTGTGGTGTCCTCAGCAACGTCCGTCATAAAGTACATTCGTTGCCACGGACGTATTTCGTGCGCCCGTGTGGCCCCAATCTTAATTTTCCAATATTTTAGCCATGACTTATGTGCGAAAGTTGTATTATCCGCTTTGAAAACCCAGCACACCCTAACAATCTCACTGTAAAATATTTGCCACATTACAATCTACTGGAAACGTAATATAGAGAAAATAATAAAAGTAATGTGGATTGGTAAGCTTTCACGGCAGTACGTAAACATGACTTGGCCTCACGAGGAAATTTTTGCAGGCGATTTCCGTGATGTGTGACCGAGAACGACTATGAAGGCAGCCATCTTGTTCCCCTACGAAGCTCTCAGCTCTCGAGGGTGCTGCCGGCTTCATGCCCGCCACGCGGCCATCACCAGCGCTGTCTACACTTTGGTAAGTGAGTAACAATTTAGGTCTCCGAAAATACAGTGAGTTCATGCGAGGAAAGGCGCATGTAGAAGAGTCGGGCGCTAACCCCTTCAAGTCAGTCAATCGCCGAAGTTCGCTTCACGGTTCCGCTCTCCCACAAAACTCACTGTATTTCTGGTGTTATTGTTGGCCAACAGATGTCAGTATGCAGTAACCTAAATGCCTCCTTTGAGTCACTTCAGCGTTAAGGTCTGATAAAGTTTTGGGGCCCACCGTGACCTACAGGTACTCAGAAAACACGAAGGCAATTCGAAATAAAAGGCAAATTTATTATTTTTTTGGACAAATAATCACAGTGTTCTCAGTGATGTCTTGTGTTTATGAACAATAGATCTACTTTCTAGTCCGTTTGGTTAATCTGTCCACACATTCCCTGGTCCCATAAAAATGCAGGATTTGCGCGTCGGCCTTAAACCATTTTACAATCTTTGCTTCAGTGATTGATATCAGATTCAGAAATACTTTTAAGGACGCACCGATACTTGAGCACATGTGACTAATTAGGTAAAAGGTAAAGTTGTCCCTCTGCTTAACTAATTAAGCACTACGCCATTAAGGTGTATGGGGGAGTGGATGTATAGATCCACGTTATTTTGACCTCGGCACTATTTGGAGGTGAGTGGTCAGCTTCACGACCTGGCCGCTTAACCCCGGTACCCATTGGATAGTAGCCTGGCTGCGCCGCAGAACCTCTCTGAACGATGTGAAGAAGAGAAAATCATTGTTCCCACTGGAATTCGCACTCCGACGAAAAGGGAAATCTCAAATCTGAGAGAGTAAAATATGGTCGTGAGTACAAAAGGCCTCGGACCCGAGAAAGACTGCGCTGGCAAGTGCCAGCAGAATATACAAACGACAGAACCGTCCTCTCGTCAGAGAGGGCGCCCCACAAGAACTAACCGTAACTGTCAAACATTAATAAATATCTCGTCATGAGCCCCAGATAGGGTTCGACACCAAGACTTACTGACTGACTGACCGTGAGTCGCAATGTGACTTTGACTTTTTGGCTAGACAGAAAGAAATTACTGGGTTCATGTAGTGTGGTCAGAAGCTTGAGTCACTGATACACGTGAAAATATGAACCGAGCCAGAACCCGGACATTGTCTGTAGTATCAGGCCGAGGCCCTAGGACAGCCCCGGGTCCCTGTAGATGTCCGCAGGACACATCATGATCTAGGGAGTAAATAACAGAGAAACATTAATTTTTCTGAATATGTAACAACAGCTTATGTGACATTTTTAATTCGCTTAGTGGGGGGTGGAGTCCAACTGGGTCCACTCGACACGGAGGCCACTGATTGGCCTATTGTACCTACCCCGGGTGATTATGATGATGGAGAATTTGGTGGAATGAAGATTGGCAAGGGAAACCGAATTACTCGGAGAAAACCCACCCCAGCGCCACTTTGTCTATCATAAATCCCTCTTGACCAGACCCGGGATCGAACCCGGGCCGCCGCGGTGGGAAGCCAGCAACGCTTGATGTATGGCGCGGCCTTATGTGACATTTACTTGTGTTACAACTGAAACACGTATCAGTGGAGCATGAAACTCAATCAACTGAAATAAATATTTCACACGAAATACCAAACAATTTAGTAATCAAATCACCTAACCCCTTTATCTTGAGGGCCAGGGTTTACTCCCTCAGCCTCTGTGTACAGATTCTGAGGCGCCAGACGCTCTCCTTCCGTCTGCTACATTCTGCCAGATTGCATTGAATATTGAGGAGCATCGAAGTGGAAGGATCGATTATTGAAACTATCGAGTGTAAGAGGCTTATATATTACGGACACTGCAAAGGGTGGAGGAAAGTAACGGCTGAAGAATGTAACTTCAAAGAACAGGAGGAAAGGTAGACCAAAGAGAAGACGGAAGGTATCAAGAAATATAGGGTGATTCAAGAAGATTTATGTCATCGAGTAGTGTGAAAACCAGGAAGCAAAAAACGACTGCTGCCATAATCCCATATGCGCGCGCATGTTTGTACACATATTGAAAATAATGTAATATCATTTCATGTGTAGTCTAGCTCGTGTCCGATCACAATGGTCGCAGATGACGTGGAAACTAACCAACTAAAAAGTTCTTTTCGAGATGCAGTTGCACTGAAAGGGGTACCGATAATAACAAAAGAAAATAAGGGTTTTTGTCGTCTTTTATAAAAGTATTTTTTATTGCTAGTGGGGTGTGACTAAGTCCCTTGTACTGGGGCCACATCTGGCCTATTGTATCAGCCCCAGATGATAAGTGAGGGCGATTTTGGAGCAATTGGTGGAAAGAAGATTGGCAGGGGAAACCGAAGTACTCTGAGAAAACCTGCCCCAGCACCACTTTGTCCACCACAAATCCCACTTTACCAGACCCGGGATCGAACCCGGGCCGCCGCTGTGGGAAGCCAGCGACTAACCGCTTGAGCTAGGACGCGGCCTGACTTTTACAAAGTAACACAGAACGCCTTACATGGAGGTCACGTCTAGTACTGTCTGCCTGGTTTCACCGCCTAACCCGTTGGAAATAATTTATTTCTTCCATACGGAAGACTCACTAAGAATTGCTAAGCATTTCTGATTTTCGTCCTGGTTTGATCCACAATAATCCATAATTGCATGAGTCCTTGTCCCACAGACCCTGCCATGCATTTTTTCAGCTCCTGTAAGGGATATTTTTTAGTTTGAATTTCATTGTTCCTTCTCTTAAGTAAGCTTAAGATACCTCAGAAAAGGTTGTCGGCAGTTTTGTACGTTCCACCATGGAGTACGCGTTTCCAGCCTTGTTTGATTATGATCGCTGCGAGAGTCGGCACTCGGTAACGGACTTTCTGAGTCCCGTTTCGTTACTGAATTATTAGTAATAAACTCCGTGGCTTTAATCCGCAAGCGATCTGTACCGACCGAGTGACCGCCGCTTGTCGGCGAATGAATCATTAGGTAGCGCTGAAATCTGTGACTGGACTCTCGCAGACTTTCTTCTGTGGCACAGTGTGTACAGAGCTTTCTGTGAAGATATTCTAACAAAACTTCATATTGTCGGGAGGGTTATTGAAGCAGCAAACCTCTAGGCTCAATTCAGTGCGGTGATACTGTCTCAACAGAATTCTTTGCCGTTTTCCTAGGTTGCTGCATGCACATTCAGGGATATAACTCGAGTAGGCCACATTCCTTGTTTAAAAATCCTTTCCAAATCAATATCAACTTTTAATCCTAGTATTCGGTGCCTTGATTCAGGAGGAACTTAAGAGGATATCGAACTCAGGTAATGCTTGCTACCATTCAGCCCAGAGCCAGTCTTCTCGTTGTTTTCTAAAAATATAAAAATTATAATGTACAAAACTATAATTTTGATTGTTTCTGTATGGGTATGAAATTTGGTCTCTGACATTAAGGGAGTAACATAGACTGAGGGTGTTTGAGAACAGGGCGTTAAGGAGAATATTTGGACCGAAGAGAGATGAAGTGACAAGATGTTGGAGAAAACTGCATAATGAGGAGCTTCATAACTTGTACTCTTCTCCAAGTGTAGTTAGAATGAACAAGTCAAGGACGATGAAGTGGGCAGGTCATGTAGCACGAATGAGGGAGAAGAGGAATGCATATAGGATATTGGTGGGAAAGTCGGAAGGAAAGAGACCACAGGGACGACCAATGCGTAGGTTGGTGGACAATATTAAAATGGATCTTAGAGAGATAGGATGGCATGGTATTGATTGGATTGATCTGGCTCAGGATAGGGACCAGTGGAGGGCTCTTGTGATCACGGTAATGAACCTTCGGGTTCCATAAAATGCTGGGAAATTCTTGAGTAGCTGCAGATTTGGCGGTTTCTCAAGAAGAACTCAGCTCCATGAGTGAGTGAGTGACTTATTATTTAGTGAAGCGTCGTGAAATAAGCCACAGAGATAGAGAGATGCTTCTTGGGGTAGGGACGCTGTTAATTGCAAGCAAGAAACTGAGCTCTATATGTATATGGTATTTACTATATTGCTGTTAACACAAAACTAATTGAGACCGATCGAACTTTATGGTTGTCAATTCGGATCCATTCCACGGTATAAATATTCGTGTGCGTCCTTCATCGCTGCCCTCAGCCTAATTACTAACGTAACCACCACCCAAACGAATTCCGCCATTGGCTAACCCCACACATGAAACAGGGCTAATAATTCCTGGAAACTGACTTCCAGGTACTCGATAAATCCAGCAGAATCAGTTTCAGAAAAAAATCGAAAATAATTCCAAAGAAATCGCGAGCGTAAAGTAATATTTTGGAACATTCAGTTTTATCAAATTTGCCGCACGAAGCCCGGATAAACAAATATATATATTCGTGTCAAATTCGAAACGGGTCACAGGCCAGTGATTCTGAGGTTTGTTGGCCAACTGCTAGCGGCTGTTGTGTGTTTCTGAACCGAGGAGATCTGCGCTGCAAAATGTGTAATAAATTTGTCAGCGTGGCTTGTGTCAGAACATCAAACACTAAATTGAGACTTGCTTCAAACAGCTGACATACACAGACACATCGATCCGGCACAAAGAGGCCGCAATCAGTTTCACATTGCTGCTGCTGTTGCTGCATCCTTCCCAACAAGTGNGGGGGGGGGGGGGTACCTGACATCATAGACTCCTGCTTTCTGTTTATTCCCACACAAGAGCCTTGCAGGAAGGACGTTACTTGTATGGTTCAATATCCAAGGCGCCCCTTCGCCCAGTATGGCCTTCTTACATGTCTTATTTTCTCATACACATTAAATTGTGTCATAATAACGAATGAACAATAAATAAAAATAAAAGCCGAAATTTCGATGGAAATAAAAGTTTCGGGTATCCCTACAACACACATTCGTTATTTTTATTCGATTGGAGGTCGAGTGGCGTCCATTACAAATTCAGTTTGATCAACGTCTTAACGAGGAGCAGGGATAGCGTAATCGGTATAGGTACTGGCTATGAGCTGGGCGACC